GAGAGAGAGAGAGAGAGAGAGAGTCAGATTTTGAGAAAGAGAACTAAGAAAAAAGAGGGAAGAAGACTGAAAAGCTATCTTCTGAATAATACTAGAGATGAATTTTGGAGAGTTTAAGAGTGAATGAAAGCTGAACTTTGAAGAAAAAGAAAACATTCACAGTTCAAGTTAAAGACCTGTTGGATTTAATCATCAAAATTCAGTAATTTTAGAGTTGAATAGGCTGAATTTTAAACACCTAAAAGAGAAAGTTAAAAGAGAGGGTTGAGAGATAAAACAAAACTGAAAAGTGAAGTCTTTCTTCCACTGTTAAAAATCAGTGCCAGTTTGCTACTATATCCTTGAAGCTTCAAGCTTCTTTTCTTTGAGTCTTTGAAAACTAGAAAATCTACTGTTCTATCGCATTTCAGAATACATTCTGTTTCTGCATGTGATTGCTGGTGGTATTTCTGGTTTTATTCCTGAGTTTCTGGTATATCTGTGTTGCTGCCTTGTATTTCTTAAATTGCAACTGGATTTCTGGGTTTATTGCTGGGTTTTTAATCTCCTGGTTACTGGTTGTTGTTGCTGTTGTTGCACTGTTACTGCCCTGCTAATATCTCACCTTCCTTTTCTTTTATTTCAATATTAGGTACACTTTCGAATCAATACTGATGTGGCTATGAGATGTGAAAGTAAAAATGAAATGCTAGGGTGTTTTTGATAAATTACTGTTGTAATTATAGTTTAATAAGATGTGTATTTATAAGTTTAGTTTTATAGCTCAACTGGAATGCATGACGTAGTCTTGTATTTAACAGGAACTGTTTGGTTTTTAAACTATAGTTTGTAGTTGTCAGCTACAGATTCCATGTAGTTAAACCTGTAATTTGTAGAATGAACAAATCAGTTAAGGGATTAATTGCCATATTTCATCTTTAGCTTTCTTGGGTATTTGAAGCAGATTTTAAATAGGCAGTGTTTGATTCCGTTAGGAAGCATATAGGCCAATATTTGAATCCATGTTGATAACATTTCTTAACCTTTAATTCCAACAGTTTAAATCAATTTTAGGAATGCTAGTTTAAATCAATTTGGAGAATGGTTAGTTTTGAATATCTTGACAACTTTGTATGCACTTCGTAATTTCAGCTTTAGTAGTTTATTTAAAGAATAAAAGCACGAAACATTTCTCCATTTTTACGAATTCGAGTGTAAATATTTAAAGAATAAAAGCACGAAACATTTCTCCATTTTTACGAATTCGAGTGTAAATTACCGTTATCATCTACTGTAATCAAATAACTACTTGTCAAAGCATGTAATTAATAAGGACTTTTCTAGTTTCTTTTAGAGACGAACTTAATAGAAATGTAGTCATTTTAGGATTGCCCTTTAAATAAAAAAATAAAAAAAAGACGAGCCTCGCCAAATAAAACGCAAGCTGCGGGGCCCTCAATAAATGGTTAATAATTAATTAGACTTCGGATGGGCCGTTGTAGCAAGATTTCACGGCCTTCTCAAAAAATAATAATGTGCTATTCGCTTTAGGTGAGTCTTTTAATAATTTATTTTCTTAAACACGGGTGTACATTGATGTGACCCAAATCCAAATCTCAACGAAGTCGAAGTGTGTCGACGACCACGGGTGCATTGATTGTGACGTGGTACGAGATACATTTTCACAACGTTGCAATTCTCTATAAAATAATAATAATAATAAGAGCAGTTTAGGAATTAAAATTTGCACATAGGTTCAACATGTATTAAAATCAGATAAATAAGCCGAATATGACAGTTGAGCGACCGTGCTAGAACCACGGAACTCGGGAATGCCTAACACCTTCTCCTGGATTAACAGAATCACTTACTTGGATTTCTGGTTCGCAGACTGTAATACAGAGTCAATCTTTTCCTCGATTCGGGATTCAACCGGTGACTTGGGACACCATAAATCTCCTAAGTGGCGACTCTGAAATAAATAAATAAATCCCGTTTCGATTGTCCTTTAATTGGAAAAAACTCCCTTCCGCGTCCCTCTGCGGGGCGTAGGTAAAAAGGAGGTGTGACAGTATTTATGTGAAATTATCCCAATAATTTGCATCCTCTAAGTTTGCATTAAAAATTAAATTTATCCTCCAACTTTAAACAATAGTCATTCTTAACTTTTTAAAATGCCTATTTTACCTCTACAACTTTTATCTCTTTTTTTTTTGATTTTTTTTTAAAATAGGCATTTTAATTTATTTTTTTAAAATTTTCTTATCTGCTTCAACTTACCGAGGACATAACTCTCAATAGTAAGGTGTGGAGGTTGCAAATTTTTTGAATTTATTTTCATCGTTCCTTGAGCTGAGGGTCTATCGAAAACAACTTCTCTACCTTTACAAAGTAGGAGTAAAGTCTGCGAACGCAGTACCCTCCCTAGACACTATTTATGGAATTACACTGGATTTTTTGTTGTTGTGGTTGTTAAAGTTTTTAATCTATATTATGGATTTACTTATAGACAAATACATATTAATTTTGATACAACAAAAGAATGAGAAGTAATTTTCAAGCATATAAGTTACTAACGTTTAATAATGAGCAAAAGAAGTTGTTTTCCAGTATCATTAATTTTATTGATAACAATCAAAATTCACTATATTTATAACATTGAGAATAAAAGAAAGTGAGAACTTTGTAAATTATGCAATGCATATAATAAAAGGGTTAAAAAAATAAAGGAAAATTTTATAACAAATTCATAAAAACAAGTTCGGGGTGGTAATAAGACCGCCGCAAAATAAAGGTGTTTAACTGGGATTTCAAGACTAATTCAAGGTGGACTTATTCCTTTTCTCTTTAATTTACTCATGGTTCTTGCACTAATCAATATCAAAAGTTGCAGGCATTAACAAACAAATTTTTTATGCATTTTATTAGTATAATACGTCAGAGCTTATCAAATCATAACATTCCTAATATCAAAATAACAAAGTACTTATGTTTCATAACATAATTAACAACAACTTGTAGAATTTATTTACAATTACAAAAAGAGTTATATGGAACACAAAGGTCATATATGATAGTAAATACTTACAGCCAACCAGCATTTTCCTTAGCAAGACAGAGGTAGTTCGATGCACAAAGCTCATGCTTTAAGCAAATCGCACTCATAATGCACAGACAAAATCTCCACTTGTATCTATCTCATCATCTATATCAGCATCAATATCTAAGTCATCAAGATCAATGCTACTACTTCCCTTAACAAATAAATTACCATCTTTGAGCCCCTCTCCTGGTTTTCTTGCCTCTTGAATTATAGCCAACACTTCTTCAATACTTTGAGATGGTTCATTTTCTTCATTTGTTTGTAAACTAGCTTCCTCTCCTTCCATAAATTCTATAGGCAAGTTCTTTACAAACCAAGGATGCTTTTTAATCTCTTCCATAGTTATTCTCTACATATACAATATTATACAATTAGCTGATTTTCAACCAAGAAAAAAAAAAGATTTACCTAAGTTGCTCAGACTCTAAAAAAATGATGTCGGGTGCGTGTCAGATCCTCCAAAAGTAGTGTATTTTTGGAGGATCTGACACGGGTGCACCAACATTTTGAGTCCATGCAACATAGGGATTTACAAATTTAAAGTGAAAATGAATAAGTACCCCCCTAACCTATACCCGTATTCCCAACTACACACTTTTTCTTTGCGGGAATCCTATTAGCCCCCTAAACTTATTTTATATGGAATTATTTGCACCCTTAACGCTGACGTGACAGAGTGTGTGTATTTCACTCTCCCAAAGGAGAGTGAGAAGCAAGAAAAAATGATTTTCAAATTATTTTTTATTCTTTTTTACCATTTTTTCTTACTTTTTTTCCTTTTCCTTTTCCTTCTCCTTTTTCTTATTCTTTTTTCTTTTACTTTTTTTTTTCGTTTCTTCTCTAATTTCGGCGGATATTCATTCACCGACAACTTTGTCTAACCGTTTTCCTTCCATTTTTTCTTTTCACACACAAATTAAACTCTCAAAAAGATCTATTCATAAGCAAAGCAAAATACACTCAGATTTGGGGGGAAAAATTCATCATCGGAAAAGCTTCCCACGCCGAAAAAAATGATGTATTGAAATTTTAACTGAAAAAAGTTTTCTCAGCTTATATTCGTTTTTATTTCTTTTGCACTTCCTCCCATACATAAATTACACTTTCAAGAAAAATTATATATATAAAAAACAAAACACACTTAAATCGGGATAAAAATTTGTTGCCGGAAAAAAACATTCGCCGGAAACAATGGTGTTTGTGAAATTCCGACGAGCACCATTTTATGCCACTGGTGACCAAAACAAAAAGAAAGAGAATGAAATAACCAAAAAAATGAGAATAATAAGAAATAAGAAAAAAGGATAAGTAAAAGAAGAAAGAATAAAAAAAGTACTAAAAATACATGTGGGGCGCGTGTAGCTCACCACTTTCCCATAGTTTGGTTGTCAGTGTTAAGGGGTGCAAATAATTCCATTTAAAATAAGTTTAGGGAAGTAATAGAATTCCCACAAAGAAATAGTGTGTAGTTGAGAATCGGGATATAGGTCGGGGGTACTTACGCATTTTCCCTGAAAATGAAACTACAAACCTTCTCAGGGTCAGCTACAAATATTTGAGATAAAAGATGCTTACACTCCTTTGAAACTCGAACGTAAGAAGGGATTGAATATTGAACACTCAATATCCTCTGCTACAAACCAATATTGCACGAGAATTCAGTTATAGCGAGTAAAGATCAATGATCGAAAAGGGCAGCCTGGTGCGTGAAGTATCAGTGGTATGATATAAGCAACCTCTTCTGATGCAAGCATCAGTGGCTGATTCCATGTGAAATTAACGTGTTTTTAAAAGTGAATCATAACTTACAGTTAAGGTTTTCCTGAAATTTCTTGGATCATCAGGATCTTCAAAGGGATAAGCACCAACCAGCATCACATATAATGTAACCCCACAAGACCAAACATCTGCTGTCTTTACTTCCAAAATGATGACATGTAAACCATGATGTTTAGATCAATAAATCAATGAGTCAATTGAAGCAAGAATTTTTACACTATTTATCTAATTTAACGTGTTATAGCCTGATCTTGTCAAATTATTATGTACTGTCAGTGCACAAAACTTAAACTCATAATTAAAAGATCAGTATCGTACCTTCCCATCATATTCTTTTCTTGATAAGACTTCTGGTGCGATATAAGCTGGAGTTCCTACTGTAGATTTGGGTTGAGAATGCAAGACTGATGACTAAACAATGAAATAATACAACAGTCAGAAGACAGAAGCTGTTTTGCAAAATAATCCAATTCCATCATAGGATATAAAGAGTTCATATTTTGCCTTAGAGTAGCCAAAATCACATATTTTAAGACGCGGTGTTGAGCTCCCATCTAAGAGCGTATTTTCAAGTTTGAGATCTCTATGACATATTTGCTGCATTTCAAGAACATATTTGTACATTACAATGTCATAATCCAGGAGTAAATTTGCAAAAACCAATTCAATTAAACTAAACAGAGGTCTCAGTTTACCATTGAGTGACAGTAACTGACTCCTGATATAAGCTGTTGAAAGAAAAATCTTGCCTGAAAAAATAACCACAAGTAGGACAGATTGCTCAAACTTCCAATGAGGAGAGGATCTAATTTGATTACTTATACAATTACCTAAGTTGTTCGGACTCTGGTGAGGGTGTTCGATACGGGTGCGGATATGGAGGCCGGATCTTTTATAATTTAAATTTTAAGATTCAGGTGTATGGATCCAGGTACGGATACGGGTGCTGAGATTCATATATTTAAAAATAGATTTATAGAAAATGTCTAAATTAGAGACATTATGTGGATAACTTACAATGCATTCCTAGGAGGAGAAAATATTGATCAATAGTGGATCTGAGAAGGAGATAAAGAAAAAAGACTGACACAGAAATATATGTACATATATATTTCATTTTCTTCTATTTTATCCTATCTTTTGTTCTGATTTCAGAAATCACTATATTTATCCCGAATTTCTCAGTTGATTTTGGTCAAAGTACCCAAAATCGATTGACAAGATCCGTACGGATCCCACACCCACACTCACACCGTGTCGACACGGGTGCAACACCGAAAGTGAAGAGTCCAAGCAAGTTAGACAATTACAACTATTAAAATGTGAACAAAAATCTAATATTTTTATGTTACCTCATCTTCACTGAATCTACCAGCATTACAAATTCTTTCAAAAAGCTCTCCTCCTGCAGCATATTCCATTACTATGGCTAAATGAGTTGGGGTAAGAAATACCTGCACAATATTGAAAAATCTTGTAACTTAAACTGGACAAAAGGGAACGTCAGTTTCTAATAACTATAACCAGCTTTTCGACCAAGTTTACCACTTGTCTACTCTTCTACCTCACTTTTAGGTAATTGTTAACTTAAAAAAAAACTATTTCATTAAATGCTAAAAGGATATTTTTTTAATGCGGAAATAAAAGTGTGCTCTGTAACAGCATAAAATTTTAGATAAGATGATCGCTACAATTCAATAAAGTATCAGCACATACAAAGGTCTTGGATTCAACACTTACCGTTACAACAACAACAACCCAGTAAAATGAGAGGGTAGAGCGTACACAGACCTTACCCCTCCCCGGAGGAGTAGAAAGACTGTTTCCAAAGACTCTCAGCTCAAAAACTTATATCGTTACCAATTACCAAAAACGAATCTTATGTGTTTCAGCCCATGAAAATGAATCAGGTACGCATGTGAGAGAACTTGTTAAAGATATATAGTTAAGTCAATAAAAGTCTCTGCTCTCTAATTATTAAAATTTTAGATGAGATGTTAGGCACAATTCAACAGGCATCACTACTCTTACAATGATGCATTACCTCCTTGAATTTAATGATATTGGGATGTCTCAAGGACCTATGATTCACGATTTCTCTCTGGACATGCTCATCAATCTGCATAGACAACCAAAATAAAGCAAAAAAGAGTAACAAAAATAAATCTTGTATTTGAACAAAAAAGAAGCATTCCTTAAAAGGCCCGGTGAAGTAAACTGATTGCCCCGATCTGAAATGATGGAAACGGGGACACCATGCAACCGAACAATCTCTCGAATATATATCTCTGCCAATCGCTCTGAAGAAAAAGTAGTACAGATAGGAATGAAGTGCACAGACTTGGTCAGCCTATCCACAATCACCCAACAAGACAGTAGGCAATTTATTCAGAAGATAGACACATACTCACCCCAGAACTAGAGTGTGGAACAAATGTTTGAAACCTCAAGGCTTATCCCACGTTTACACAAGTTTCGGGAAGGACCTCACCCCAAGGGTGTGATCTTAAAAGCCATATACATAAATATATGTCAATCAGAACAGAACATATATGAGAAAGAGATGAATCAAACCTTTTTGCATCTCTCAATAAACTTGACAGCATAAAGTTCACCTGTCCACTTATCTTTCACTAGCTTAGCAACACCAAAATTACCAGAACCAATTTCTTTCAGAATTTCATACCTTTCCATTCTATTTTAACTTGAATACCTCAAATGCATGAGTATTTGAAAAACACAGCTACATGAAGAGGGGGCTATTCAAGATTCGAGTGTGTGTGTGTATATATATATATATAGAAAATGCCCAAAGATGAAACTATCAGAAGGAAGAGCTGTGATTCCTAGAACATATGTGTACTACTACTGTATTTGACAGGAACAGCGAGAATGGTAAACACATGGCACCGTTCCAATGGTTTGACTTTTGAGTATTAGTACTATGTTTAAATTTATGCGTCTTGGTTTGAGTGACACATGGTTTGAGAAAGTAACAAAGATTTTTCAATCGTGTGGGTTTAAATTAAAGATGTGTATAATGTACTAAAATACTCTTGAATCTTGTGATTTATAATATGCCATGTGAAAAGTTCGAGTTAAAGAGTTACTAAATATAGTAAGAGTCATCTTTTTTAAAACAGACTAAATAGGAAAGCAAGACACACAAACTGAAATGAAAGGAGTATATGTTGAACCAACCAACACGGTTTAGTCACGTGCCTAAGACCAAGAAAGCGATATAAAAAAGAACACGGAAGATGTGATAGGACGAATGAAATCTCTCGAGGCCTCAACTTTATATCAGAGGACTCGAATACAAATTCTAGGATGGAGAGTCATTCTATTAATAGAAAGCGCTCTACATCTTTAGTGCCTGACTCGAGATGAATTCAGGTTAGACGTGCCAATAACTTTAAATAGCAAATAGTTAAACTAAAAAAACAAAGAAACGACATGAATATTTATAGATTAGTTTTGTTTGTTGGAGCTACATTTTATTTAGTGATAAAAATATTGCAAATTCTTTGCAATTATCTAAAATCTTTGCAAATTCTTGATATGGAACTCAAACTGGACCACGAATGTACACCTTGACCTTCAACCTCAAGTCTACAAGGGAAGGAGGAGAAGTTGAAATTCCGAGCTGTAAAGCAGAGAAAATTCCTACTTTTCTTTTCTTTACGCTTAAAGTTGCGACCCAACAATCAATAAAGTGGTGAAAATAAATACATAGAGACAAAATAATTTTTTCATCTGTTTTAGTCTTGAAGAGCAAAGTTGCACATATTTTTACTAGGTGAATAATAGCTAGTTCTGACAATATAGTCAAGTTCCCACAAACTGAAGGACACCACTCTTATAAAAAAAAGAATTCCTATATTTTGGAGGGGTCCCAAAATAGAAACCAACCATCTTGAAAAAAATAGTTGCCATCAGGAAAATCAATTTCTTTTATTTTTAAAAAATTTCCTCCTAATTTAGGAGGATCTGAAGCAGTGGCGAAACCATGAATTTTCTTAAGGGTGTTCAAACTTGAAAGAAGTGAAAAAATTCTCCCGCAAAGAGTATTCAATATATGTTATATATATACCTCTAAAACCTAATTTTTTAATAATATATAATTTTTCAACTAGGGTGGTCAGTTTACCCTTGATCTGTAGTGTTTCCACACTTTTTCTCCGGCATGATTCAAACACATAATCTAATGATCGTGGATGAAAATATTTTAACAACTGAGCAAGCCTTTGTCAAAAAAAATGAAATTCAAGATTGTGAATGAATGTTGAATGCAAAGTGAACGATGGGTAAGGCAACAAATATTGTATAAAGAGAGACTCATAATTATCAGCTTTGTCCTCGTGCTACTTTGTGGGCCTTAGGTCTACCACCCCCCCCCCCCCCCCCTCTAAAAAAGTTTTGACAATTCATTGACTGACTTTTTTTTATTAAGTTGTTAGCCATTTAAGGAGTTGGGAATTTGAGGAACAAGTTATAGTGCAAAAAAGTTGGAAAGTAAGAGTAACCATATCCTTAGAATTTCTGGGGTTGGGAAAGAATTATCCCTAACGTTCTGTCATCCATTATCTCTCCTACTAGTCCTATTTTTGGTTGAGTTTAACTTTTAAAAAACTAATTGAGTAAAGCAAAGAATTTTTGCAGTGCATTTAATTTTTATATAACGATTATGTGAAACTTTTTTATATACTATCAGGTCACTTATATATGTATATAAGATTTGAAAATTTTAAAAGAATACATACACCAAATTAATACGTAAGAAGTGGCACCAGCTATGTTCATCTCTCGTGGATGCGTTATTTTTTATAAAAAGAAAAGACAAAAACAACAAAAAAAACATAAGATTTAACTTCCAACATAATCTCACTTAAAGAGATGCATTCAATAATCATTGTATTGTATGATACTTTGAGCTTGTGTGCATACATATCTTAAATATTTTCAAAGAAGTATAATATTGCTATACATGATCCCGGGAACCCCTAAATACGCCCCTGAGTGGGTGGACTGCTATAACATGAATCAAATTGAAGCTTAAAATCTATTTAGCAACTACAAGAAACCAGATTAATTTTTAAAATTTAGGCCTTTTATGTTATGCATAATTTTAGATGTACTCTTCAATGTGCTTATCCATCAACTTCGTACATCCTAAAATATAAATAGCTAAACGCTGTTATTTTCACGTACTTTTACTTATCTGTCTTTTCGTTTTATAGGACATACCTTTTATATCACGTCTCTTCACAAAATAGAGAGTAATAGACAAAGAATTAATTTGTTGATAGTAATTGACGACAAAAAGTTGGTTGAGGTAAAACCAAAAGTTATGCAATTGTCACGACACCGTCAAACAAATGCGTATGTACTTGAAAAACAAATTTGGACACACAAAAAGTATGAAAACACTATAGATCCTCCTAAATTTTGAGAAATTTTTTTTATAAAATAATAATAATAATATTTTCCAAGTTAATTAAACATGAGATGTGTATGTGTATGTCCATGTATATTACTCCCCCCGTTTCAATTTAGATGAGGTAATTTGACTCAACAAAGAGTTTAACGAAAAAAAGAAGACTTTTGAAACTTGTGGTCTTAAAGCGTAAAACGACATTAAGGAAAGGATCGACCGATGTCGACCAGGAAGCAGTGAGATTTGTGGTCGGGCTGTCAACAACGACCGAGGTCGAGCGTCAAGGACAATAACGGCTAGTTTTTGTAATAGGATAGTAAAAAAAATTCTATTGAATATTCTCTGCACTTGTACTATTAGACTTTGTTAGGAGTGTGTCTCATGTAAATAGAAAAAGAGTCAGTAGTGTAGAACATGTAATATTCACTTGATAAGAATACTTTTTGAGAAGAAGATTCTCTCTCAAGCAAAAATATAAGCTTTACCTTTTCTTGAAGATTTTTCTCACATTATTCTATACTTTTGCATCAGATATGAGAATAGTTCAAACATTCTAGGATTTGTCTGTCATTCATTATTGTCAGAAGAAATAATCATCTTTTCCTTTCATTATTGGGTGAATCATTCTCCTTATTTACATAAATGTCATTTATTGCTTGATGTTCCTCTATTATTGCTAACATCTTTCAGAATATTAAATTTGTATTACTTTCAGTTTCTCACCGACTTTTTATCTTACGTTATCCATGCTATCAAGTTATAAATCTAGAGATATTATCATTAAATAAATTTAACCTCTCATTACATAAAATTAAATAGTTTAACCGAAAGTTTATATTTTTTGGTCAAATAGGGGTATTTTAGGAAATTGGGGTTATTTGTACCTCCATGAACACATGTCGTCTATCCAGTTTCAAAAGTCCATGTAATTATTTTGTTTGGTCTCTTTAGCTTACTTTGTGGTTGCCACGTGTATATTTGATAGCTGCTACTAAATACGTCCTGTAGCAAACAAAAAACGTACTTATGCATACTCAGAAGGAACGCAATGAGTAACTGGTATGGATAATTGGTCACTCCAAAATATTTTAAATTATTAGTTGTAAATAATTGTTGGTAAATTATAAGTAATTACAGTTGAAAAATAAGATAGAAAAAAATAAATAAATATTCTTCAGACTGAGACGCGGATATCTCGCTCTTTTTAAGGAGATTCAAGTACATTGTGGTAGCTGGTAGTATATTCACCGGTCCAACAGTAATATTCTTGACTTGTTCCCTCCAGGATACAACAACCCGACAATATCGTATGACTCAAACAAACTCTAGACAAGTTGTTGAGTTCAAAGCTCCACCAAAATGAACATCAATATTCAACAAAAATAATAAACCTCTTTTGTAGATAATACATTGGAGACTTAGATTTTATCCTTCTCTTAACTCTCGTTTTCAATACACCAATTTTTACATTTTTCATACACACTACAATGTTTTCTCATCTACAATACAAAAGAAGAAACATCACTATTTATAAGTGTAGAATTTCTTTCATGAAATAAATAACAAACTAGTGGGATAATTAATAAAATTGTAGAACATGATTGGTGGCTACAAAATTTAATCTTTAGTGGGTAATTAGTGGTAAATCATGGCTTTAGTGGGTTCATGAGTTACACCAAAGTAATGATCACTTTCTTGCTAATTTATAATCACTATCTTACAAAATATAACATACTTTAATATTAAAATGTACTAACACCAATAATAACGAAGAATAATTTATATATCACTACTAATAAATATCTTTATAAATGGGATTACAAATAATATTCATGAACACGCAGGATTACATGGTATTTAAAATTGCCCAGTTTTACTGGATTTTAGTGATTTTTACTTGCTTAGTGCTTTGTGATCCGGTCTTTTCTCGAACCTCATACATAGCGGGAGTTTAGTACACCAAACTGCCTTTTTACTTGTTTAGGAGAACAACAATCTCTGCTCCTGACACGTGCTATTCCTTTTTTCCCAGATTTGATTGTTTTTTTATTTCTACCTATATTCAAGCATAATTTATTACCTTGCATTACCTCAGGTGTTTACATAAATTAGGCTAGGTTGGAGTTTTTTCTGAAAATTCATGGAATTCTACTAATATTGATAGCCCGTTTGGCCAAGCTGCAAAAATCAGCTTATTTTGAGAAGTATTTTTTTTTTTCAAAAATGCTTTTCTCAAAAGTACTTTTGGTGAGAAGCAATTTGTGTTTGGCTAATTAGTTTGAAAAACACTTCTGAACAGCAATTAGTGTTTGGCTAAGCTTTAAAAAACTGCTTCTAAGTGTATTTTTCTCAAAAGTGCTTCTCAAAAAAGTGCTTTTGGAGAGAAACTACTTTTTTTGTTTTTCCAAAACTGTTTCTGCTTCTCCTCAAAAGCATTTTTTTCCTTCCAAAAGCTTGGCCAAACACCTCA